AGGGATGGTAAATTTCGTTGGTCAAACAATCTAATGAATGCGAATGTAGGATCAGAAACAGTGACTTGAATGATATAAAATCTTACTAAGACCTACTGCACTCATCCATCCACCCCCCACACACACCTCGAATGACAAACAAATTAAAAAACCGTCAAAACATATAATAATAGTATGCGTGAAACACAAATACCACGTCGGTCTTGAATTGGATACTTTTCTCATCACCCCCATTTTTCGTTCCGACATCATGCCTACTTCATTCCAGTGACGTCATGTACATGTATATACACATACATGCATATATATACTTATCCATGCGAGAGCCTAAATGTTAACACGAAGCACTGACACTATACACCAGGGGTTCGCCAGGGTTCATAAGCAATGTAACCAATCCCGTTGAAGTTTGGTTATCCTCACAAATGAGTCAAACGCTGAAACCATAACCCGCAAGTCCCGGTAACACCACTACAGTTTGTGAAAACAACTTCGCATAGTGCATGACCAGTGAATTTATCTATCTCAGAGAGGCTCATGACGTTGATCATTTATCAACATTTTTTAGGTAAATAGAGGTCAGTCCGAACGACTTCTGAAGATACCTACCTTCGATTATTCACGGCATTTCTGGAAAAACAGGCCAATCAGAATCAGTAAGATATTCTAATTGATCAAAGTTGGTCTCACTTAAATATGGGAACTTACCAACAATACGAGCGAGTGGCGTCAACGATCGATCCTTCGCAGCAAAACTGGCCGAACACAAAATTGTCGCAGCAGCTGCGTCATTAATCCCGCTTGCATTAGCTGCCGTGATTGTGCCCCCGTCGGCTACATCCAAAAAGGCCGGCTTGAGTTTCGGAAAACGGGCAAAGTCTACCCGTTTGTATTCCTCATCCTCAGTGACCTCAACAAATCCGTTTGGAGCTCGTTTGTCAGGCACTCGTACCGGGGTTATCTCTTTTGCGAACACGCCTTGTTTCGCCGCAGCCTGACTGCGCTCGTAAGACATTTTCGCATACTCGTCTTGATCTTCACGTGTGATTTTCATATCTGCTGCAGTTTTCTCAGCACATCTACCCTGAATGTGAAAACACAGGGATCGCGATGGAGGTAAATTATTAGATTTGGAAATTTTGAAATGGATCTCTCTGTTTTTGCCGAGTCTAAGCATAAATGGTGGTTTAATTCTCTCACAATGTAAGTAAAATGCAATGAGGAAACTCCCCGAGGAAGGAATTCAGTTTTGTGTCATGGGTGACTTTTATAAATGAATTCATATTCGGGTCAGATGTCGGAGTGAATGTAAACAGAAACGCTTATATTTCATCAATCGACGATGAAAATGAACCGTCATTCTTGCCTAATTTGGTCATGCAACCACATTGGAAATATCCCTTTGACTGATGGCGCAATGCTAACAACTGAACCATAAAACGCAGTCAAAGTTGCTATAAAAATAACTAACACTGCCTGGTTCGTCGAGATTTAGGTTTATCAGTCGAAGGGTTTATTTGAGAAAACATTGTCTAGTTTAGTGCAGGAAATAGTAATGTGATTCTAACCGCTGCTGACAAAGCAG